CACCATCGGAGTTACATTTCATCCACCCCTCCAACGGCGGCTCCCAACGAATCATTTGGTCGAGACGTTGGTGACCACCATTCCCTAACTTCCTGAGGCTAGAACTCGCATGTTGGATAATACCAACATAATTCCGGACTTCACATATCTTGCCGTCCACCATGGGAGCCGTACCATTAAAAATCAGATTATTCCTTCCTATATTCTCCTATTTGAACGAGTCAAAGTCAAACAGAAAACACCTGACATTACTTACCACATTAGGTTTTGTACATATTTATGGCTGGTAATTATTATTATTTTTTTTGGTACACGGACCTTCCAGTCTCCAGATCTACAGGGGAATCGACAAATTCAGAATCGATCCGGGTAGGACTACAAGGGCGGTAAAGCTCTCTCTCAAGAGTTTTAACACTGCTGCATTCTCAGGGCTCGAACTCGAGACTACTGGTTAAGTTGGAAGAGACCCAAGTCATCTTATTCAAGCGCTCTTGGTTAGCTAGTAATTATTTTTAACTTTGTGATACATACAATTATTACATGAGGAGAAGAAGAGACACGTGTCCCGGGCAAACCCCTCTTGCTAAGTAAACAGCCAATAAAGGCAAAAACTTGTTTGCTTCAATAGAAAAAAAAAAAACAAACAAAATTTGAAAGTGAGAGAATCAGTTTTATAATCCCCACCATCTCTTGCTTGCTCCCACACTTTTATTTTTATTTTAATTTTTTTCTCTATTTTATTTTTAAAATAATTTGTTTATATAAGTACATTAAACGATTCATTACAAATTATTGTATGAAACAATCTAACTATTTGACAGGTCGACACATCGTCGTCTTTTAATAAAATGTATATTTATATAGCGAAATGTCATTATTTTTTTTTTATTTTTTTTTTGTAGAGTATGATAATTCAATTTGAATGTAATAAGCTGGAAATATATGGTTGTCTTGTTAAAATTATTTATATATCATATATTATTAAAATCAATTTAGAAAAAGATGGTACGTAGTACTTTTGCAGTAATGTTTGAATTTATATGATCTTTGCTACACGCATTCAACAAAACTTCCAAGTATTGGTCAATTTAATTACCAACCATTAGAATTAGAGTTTGCGTCTGCGTAATTAGAATAATTGATTAAAAATTAAATATCATGAAAATATCATGACCGAAAATTCTTTTTTTTTAAAAAAAAATCAAATAAGGCATCAGAGAGAACTTTGCCGCCCCTGTGGTCCTACCCGGCTCGATTCCAGATTAATTGGTTTTCCTGTGGATCCGGAAACCGAAAGGTCCCTGTACCAAAAAATATATATATATTTAGAAGAATTAAAACAAAAACAGGAAATTTACGTGAATAACTAAAAAACAATTCTTGGTGGGATACCAAATAAAATGTGAGCCACAAAAACACAATAATACGTGATTTAGAAAATTTAAACTTGAAGGCGTTGAAAGTAAGTAAAGTTCAAAAAAAGCAAAAACGAAGTGAATTAATGTGCGTGCCGGCTACTTTAAAGAAAGCACCACATTTTTTCTCAATTTCTTGCAAAATTGATTCTTAATTTGTAAACAAAACCCTAAAACCCTAATAGTTTTTTTTTTTAACATAGTTGCTACTAGAAAATATCTTGGTTGGGGGGGAAAAACACAGTTTAAAATATTGTTGATAATTTGAATGAATTAAGTATAAGTTGAATAAGTATGTTATAAGTTCATAGAATTTAACAGAAGGACGCTTGCAAACGACCCTCGATAAAGACATTTCACTAAGAATAAATAATAATTTGTAACCTGTACTGTACGCGAATTTGGAGTTTGCAACTTAAAGAATTTTTTTATTAAATTGCAACCTTTAATACACGATTTGTCTATATCGCAACCTCCGGCCATCGGCTGTCCGTTTTTCACCGGAAAAGCAAGCGTACGACACACCAACGTACCAAATTTGAGGGCAAAAATGTCATTTCATCTCTCTTCATCCTTCCTTTTTCATCCTACATCTCACACACATTCTCACACACATAGTCAAATTCAAGGGAACTGCCATCCGCCTCCGCGCCTGGGAAAAGGAGCCCTACTTTGTCACCGACAAAGTCTCACGTAGTCAACTCGACTTCAAGGGAGCCGCCATTCGCCGCAGCTCCTGGAGAAGGAGCCCTATTTTGTGGCCGACAGAGTATCATGCAGTCAAATTCGACTTCAATCTGGACGGAGTTGTCGGAATTGCCCCAGATCTGAAGAAGAAGAACAATCGAAATTTCAAGAAATGTGTTCGAAATTTCTCTTTGTTATATTCATCTTTTTCCTCACAGCCCCCATTTTTCCTTTTAGCAACATCATATCACTCTCTATGGCGGCGGTTTCTTAAATGCCGCCTCCATCGCGAGAAGAACTTCACCTTCCTCCCGCTGCCTCCCTTCTTCCCGCTATCCTCAGCCGTCGGGATATCATTTTACATCAGCTTGATTTGATTCCTCGACCTCGCGACTAGCTGCGCCACCTCTTTTTTATGCCTTTCCTCTTTCGTCGTCGACGGGTTTACATTTCTGATCACATTGAAAGGCGCAGATTTCACAGGCCTCTACGATAACTACATGGGCCTCCCGATCGAGGGATCCAATTATCTCGCCATGGAATTCAAACTTTTGATTTGACTGTGTGTGAGAGAGAGTGTGTGTGTGAGAGAGGATTATAGAGGAAGGAGGAAGATAGATGAAATGACATTTTTGCCCTGAAATTTGGTATGTGTGCGTCACTCGCTTGCTTTTCCGGTGAAAATGGACCACCGATGACCGGAAGTTGCGATATAGACAAATCGTGTATTAAAGGTTGCCATTTAGTACAAAAATTCTTTAGGTTGCAAACCCCAAATTCGCTTACAGTACAAGTTAGCAAATTACTATTTACCCACTCACTAATTACTCTTTTTTAAAGTAACTTTTCTATTGTTTGGGTAAATGCAATTTTCAACCCCATTAAGCAAATGTAAAATTCATATTTGTTTCAACCACAGATATATGATTATGTATCACTAATTCACAATTTATTATTTTTCAATTAAAACTCAGTAGGCAATTTAATTTTTATTAGGAAAGATAGGTATATTTATTTTATATATGCAATACCAATGTCAAGAGAACGTTGTTAGAAGACTACGAACGTATAACCAAAAACTGATAACATATACAACAAATTAATTCAGTTTAAAGTATAATTATAATTCAAATTGACATTCTGTTTAATAACTTTTAAGACCATAATAAAAGTGGATAAATTAAATGTCCAAATCTATATGAACTATTTGGAATCAGAATTTGACATATACAATTACAGATCCAAAAAAAAAAAAAAAATCACACATGATTATGAATTACTAAAAATTCACATTTCTGCTCGAAAATTTCTACGTTTAATGGATTGCCCTTCCAATCACACAAGTTATTGTATAAGACGACTTTATTGTTAGGCAAGTCGATTCACTATACTCTACTAACGAAAATGCATACTTGTGATGTCAAATTTCAAATTTTTATTTATACTGTGTTTTTTAGGAACCTTTTAGTTTAAAAATATATAGATTAATAAAAAAAAATTTAATTGTTCAATCGCCTAAGTTTGTTCTAATAATAATACTAATGTTCAAAAAAGCTCTTTAGAACCTTCCATTAATTATCTCAAAACGTACCACCAACTCAACAAGAACGTACAACCCCAATCCCTCCTCTATAAATACCCTCTCCCCCAATACAATACACTAACTATTAACGAACATCTAATTTTCCCCAAAACAATGGATACAGTAACTTTTCAGCACTTTCTCCTCAAACTCTCTCTCCACACCTCAATTATCAAACACACCACCAAACCTCAAAAGGGGACGATCCAAAATATCCACCGGAAAATGGAGCACAATCTCCCGGCGGTGGCCAAAAAGCTCTGGCACGCTGTCCGCGTCGCCTATTTCGTGCTCCAAAAAAACGTGTCCCGGCCGAGGCTGCTCGCAGATCTGAGCTCCGCGATGAAGCGCGGCAAAATCGCAGGAAAATCAGCCGCGCGCAACCTCGTTTTCCACCGCGCCGAATACGGCGGGGAGGAAAGCGGCGACCGCCGAATCCCGCCGGGAGAGTACGAGTTCAGCTGCGGAGATACGCCGGCGCACCGCGTGCTCCGGCTGCCGTTTCGAATGAGCAAGCGGAAGCGGTCGCCATCCCCGCCGAGGGCGGAGGA